TCAACATTTATCCTAACTGTGACGCGCCATTACGTTTATAGGAGCTGGCGGTAGGAGGCGCTACAATGTCATTTTGACTAGGGTCTAGAGTTTCTTTAATTTTGACTAGACGTACGAGCGCCCCCAAGAGTCGATATACATTATTATAAAATTACAGTATAATTATACGCGATATATGGCGAAATTAGGAAAAAATTAAATTAAATATTACCATAAAATTATTACTATGCTATTCTAGTTCAATTAGACGAAATATTGGTACAAAGCGATAATATAAACGAATAAATGAAAACATGAGTAATACACTAGCGCCCCGAGCGCCAATAAACGTAATGGGAAATAGGTTGCAAATGTAGAAATTAACAATGTTACTGTACATACTGATATGACTGCGGAAATGTGGTGAAATAATAATGCATAACAAATAACGTGACCATTACATGCCAAAAATAATTAAAATGGCTTGCTACTTAAGGAGAAACCGTTGATAGAAATGGTGTAATATTAACGAACGTCGATATAAAAAACTGGACCATGTCAAAATGACATTGTAGCGCCGCCTACCGCCAGCTCCTATAAACGTAATGGCGCGTCACAGTTAGGATAAATGTTGATACAAATACGGTAATATTAAAGAATGTGATTAAAAAAAATGTAACAGATAGACACCGTATGATAAAAATAGTATATAATTAACGTTATACGTATTCGTATTATCAGCGCTTTGCTTGCGAACTACACTCGTTCTCTTCGTATATTTCCCTTTTCTTTCTTGGATTCTCTCTTCCTCTCCGTGTCTATAGTGTCTTACAAAGAGAGAGAGATGTTTCATGCCAAGCTACTGATAAGTATACGCTCGCTAAATTCAACGTGAAACTAAAGGAAATTGTTATTTTATATATTGTAAAACAACCGAACTCACAGCTACACGGGTAACATAGAACGCTTATCGCTATACGTGGCCAGCGGTATCTAGGAATCATTAAACTTAAAGTGAGGCAGCAGGATTTATATTTTGAGTCAAGCTACTGCGACGAATATGCGCTCTCTATTTTATATTAATAATTTCGACAGAACATCATTTTATTTCGCACATACTGGGCACGCACGACAAGTATCTTGCTGTTGTACAGGATGATTAGCATTGCCCTAAACACATACATCCCAGATTCCAATGAATGCAAACATCAATAGCTGTTTATTGTATCATATATACGACGTCGGAGACACATCGCAGTAAAACCTTTGGTATACTTCACTAATTTTAATGTAATAATACATCGGAAGCCCTAATGTCAACGACGATAAAGTGTAGTGCAATATATATTGTAGTTCTGGTGATATCAGTCGAAATGTGACGTGTGTACCTTCCGTTTGTTCGTCCGTCCGTCCGTTCGTCCGTCCGTCCGTCCGTCCATCCATCCATCCATCCATCCATCCATCCGTCCGTCCGTCCACCCATCCATCCATCCACCCGTCCGTCCGTCCATCCATCCATCCATCCATCCATCCATGCATTTGCTGTCGTATTACAGTAACGTAGCTTTTATTTTTTAAATAAGATCGATAGGCATATCTAAACTGACAAGTTAATAGTTCTTGGTTGATACATATTTCCTACGTTTTAAGTATGTAAATCGGTTTGGTGTTAGAGAGCCATACAGGCTAGGTTTCTGCCTTCTCCCAGAACAGGAAGCTAATACGAACAAAATGTAGCATCCGAATGAATATTAGATAGAATTATTATTAGAAATATTGTATTAGTTGAAGTTTTGAATATTACGCTAAAGTGGCACAGAATTGTATTTATCAAAGCAATCTTTGACGTCTATTTGTGAACTAGGATCGCTGTACCGACGACATGCTGGCGTGGGAACGTGTCTATGCAAATAATCCAAATGGTAAACGTACACTCCATCGTGTATCCTCTCTAAGCATAGGCACAGAAAGATTAATGAACAAATATGTGACCAAAATCTAGCCCGACGTTTAAAGCGCACAGTGTATAGTTTGTGATTTAGAAATGTCAATTATGTCATGTCAGCGCTATATATATATATAATTTTCGGGTGCCCTATGGGGCTACTGGCCTAGTGGGCTAGTGAAGAGATTCACAGTGTTCACTGGCGGGTGCCGCCGCATACAAGGCTCTCTTCTTGGCACCGTTTCTAACACTCTATTTCTTTCTGCTGAGTACTAAGCAGAGAAGCAGTGTGTACCATTTTTTAAGTCTTTGGTATATGACCCGGCCGCGAATTTTTTTTTCCCAAACGGTATAACATAGCGAAGAATTTAGCGCCTTCTGATTGGCTGCTTCGATTTGCTTTGCCTTTGACAAGAGAACAAACGCCCATTTGTAAATGTTTGTTTGGGTTTATGACCGCTAGATAAGTACGTTTTCTGATGTATTTTCCATGAAAAACGTATCTTTTCCTCATTAATATAACATATAATATCACTATAATTGCAATTCTTTCTGCAAATGTGTTATTTTCATCTCAATCTTAAGTTATGAGAGGGTCTGGGCTCTCGTAATATTACATACGTACGTATGTACACGCACTCGTAGTGCTTCGTCGCAGGAGGAAGGAGCGAAGGGCTACGACAGTACTACTAGAGCTACGACGGTACTATATAGTACTAGGGCTACGACAGTACTAGAGCTATACGTACTCGTAGGCCTACTCGTTGACGCTAGTAGTAGTATTACTAGTACGGTAGTAGTCGTAGTAGTAACCTAGTGTTTAACCCTGAGGTCAGCTGAAACGTAAAATAATCGGACCACGGCACGAACATAAACAGAAACTCGGCAGCTATAACTATATTATCAGGAGTGTATAATAGACACGTGATGCCTGTGGGAGGGGAGGTTTAGGAGCCAATATCTCAGCATAGGAGTATCGTATGGACAAGCGGTTGGTCTTGTTTTAGAGAGCAAAGAATTCTGCTTAATGCAGTACCATAAAATTATTCTAGGCTCGCAGGCAAAGTAGAATAATCATGTCGTGAAATTGCACTATTTTCCCGTTTTTCCGTTGTACACTCTAGGTATTATTAGCTCTTGATATATATATATATCGTGTGACTTGCGACGATATGAAATCCAGCTCCCAGCAAGCAAGGTCGCGCGTGCGTCCTGTTGCGTAGCAAGCGCGGTGGGTGGCTGGTATACGTTTTGCGGGTTCGTGTGTATATGTAATTAAATTAATTTAGTGTGAGCCCAATCTTGTGCCAGATGTTGCCGAGATTCCATTTTCCAATATTTTCCTGTGGCTTTAGTAGTTTGACTGAAGGACATTTAGTTTTCCTTAGACATTTAGTCAGTTTGTGACTCAATGTTTTATACTATATAGCCATGTTATAAATTACTCGGAACAGTGTACTGCGACCTATGGTATAATGAAGTTTATGACGTATAGTGTATGAGGCGAGTCACCCCCCCCCCCCTCAGCGCCCATCTGGGAAGGGTTTATTAGCGTTTCGTCTACAACCAATTAGTCTACTAGCCTGACCTCTGTTTGACCTGGCTCGTTTAGCTATTTCTGACTAACAAAAACCCTAACCCTAACCCTAACCCTAACCCTAATTCTAACCTTAACCCTAATGCTAACTCTAATCCAATCTTAACGAGCAAAAGCGGACAGAGGTCAGGGGGTCATGGACCCTTTTGATTTACTGCCAATTAGACCAAGTGAACAGTAGACCAAATGGTTGTAGACGAAGTGGCAAGTTACCCTGGGAGGCACTCCCGACATTCATCATTTACACTGTGTAAGTGAAGTAGTCAATGACATTTCCCAAACATATAATAATGTATTCTGTTATTTCAAGGGCGCAACCACGTGTTGAACGTTGGGGGGGGGGGGGCCCCCCCCCC